ATGCTGGAGAAAATTTAGTTGTCACTAAAAGATTAAAAGCTTGGATATTGGGGCAATGAAAAATTCTTTAAGGAAAACATCATTGAATGTATGCATTGTCTTTTGAAAGAGAGAGGCAGATAGAAAGATGTAAACCTTATCAAATTTTAGATATTTTGAACTTTAAGATATATTGAAGAAATGGTTAAAAGAAAATTCAAACCCTTGGGGAAGATATAAAACATCATTTATAACAGCACATATACTCAGAATGTATAAATAAATCCCTAATAGAATTAATTAAAAATAAACTTCACAAATATTTGTCAGTGGATACAAATATGTACAGAAAATAATTAAATAAAATGGTCATGTTACAAGTCACATTATAAAATAAAACTCTAGTTAGATAGCATAATAGATATATTGCAATGTTTCTATCAAATGGATGTGAGCTGGCAAAATTGTAAGAACAATGTTATTCTTACACAAATGTTTGGGAAATATGAAATCATGCACATGTCTTCTTCTGTCAAGATTGATCCTGAGTATCAAATCAAGATAAATCTTGGCACATCTCTTGAGAAACTGTAGAAAGAAAATGATCTTTTGAGAAGGTCAGCAAACAGAAAAACATGTCATTAGTCAGCAATTGGATTATAATGTGGATTCTCCTCTCATTCTTACTCAGTGATAACATGAAACAAATGCACAAGAAACATCCTAATTGGTATCTCTTCTACTATGATTCTAGAATTGTAGATTCGGGGAAAATCACATATACAGAAATGTCACAAAAGTTAACATTCACTTTTGGGTTTGTCTCTTAGAAGCACTATGTGGAATTTAGGGGGTCCATGTCCTTGAAAATAAATACACAGAGTATCTCAAGTTGCACGATTCATTCCACAAGTTACAACTATTTTTTTCTTCTTTTTCAAAAGAGATAGTTTGTCCCATATATACCCAGTAACACATTTCTACCAAAAAGTTTATCTTTGACAATTCCAACATATATAAATAATTCTGTTTCCTCATATCTTAGACATCTCATATCTACATCCTAAGCTTCTCAAACCCCTCAACTTAATAAACCCCTTACTTAGATTCAGATCTTTTGGGAATTTTGTGTGACCCAATGAGCTTATCCAGGCTTGTGTACCCACTGCTTTGGAACTAAACCTTGGACCATAATGCCCTCATCATTGCATACATAAGTGAAAGAAAGGACTCCCCCTAAAGTGAAATGTATCAATGACCCATATTTTAGATGAAAAAAGTACAATCACACAGGTTAATTCTTCATCAATGGCTCCCAGCAGACAGTCTAATAGAGGTTAATTGCAGATTAACATGTCAGCTGTGAATTAAGATAAACAATTGACAAGTGTAAATTCACTAAGCTAAAATATTCTGTGGAGTTAAAGAAGCAAACAATTGAGTGAAGAGAAAGCCCATAGCAAGAGAAGCAATTTTAACATCTATACATGTGTCTAAGGATTAATATCCAAAATTTATAAAGAAGTCAAAATGAAGCTTTAAGATGCGTGACACATTCATAAAATTATCCTTGGAAATATATAGGAGAATCAAATGATAGGGAGATAGAGAATAAACATATCTCAGAAAAACTTCTGAATCTTTCTGAAAGTTCTTCATCACTAGTAGTTAGAAAAGCAAAAATATAAAAAATTTTGAGGTTTCATGTAACCCCATTCATAATTTCAAAGGTCAATAAACAATAGAAAATGAACACTGGAGGTGATGTGGCAGAGATTTATTTTTTGTGGAATTCCAAGCTTGTACAGTCACTATGGAAATCAGTGTAAAGAATTCTCTAAAAGCTAGAATATCCATGTGTGTGTGTGTGTGTGTGTGTGTGTGTGTGTGTGTGTGTGTGTGTGTGTGTGTGCATGTATATCATATCACATAGCTATGCCACTCCTTGACAAATCCCCAAATGACTGAACACCCTACTCCACAGATACTTGCTTGGCCTTATTCATTGTTGCTCTACTCACAATATCGAGGAACTGAAAACTGTGGGGAGCCGCCCCCACATTCTCCGTTACAAGATGGCGCCGACATCCATTGTCAGTTGGAGTAAACAACCTTGGTGCGCACGTGCCTGCTACTTTTCTATCCCTTACTCTCTGCCTCTCCCGTGGCGTCATATGGGCTGACGAGCAGGAGCCAGTCAGGAAATGACACGTCCGAGGCGGGGACTGCTGAGCTATATAAGGGTTGGGCTTTTCGCTCCCTGGGTCTCCGCTCTGTAAGCTTATGCTCTCCCTCTCAAGACGCATTAAAGCTGTTCTGCAGAAGGATCCTAAGTGTGCCGCGTCGTTCTTGCTGGCGAGACGGTAGCGCGGGACAGAAAACAACTTAAATGTTCTACAACTAATGTGTGGATAATGAAAATGTGGTGCACATAAAATATGGAACACTATTCAGCTGTAACGAAAAATAAAATCAAGGAAGATGGACATGAAAGCGTGAAACTATACAACACCAAACTGAATGAGGTAACCAAGATATAGAAAGACAAACATCACATGTTCTCTGTCAACTGAGACCCCTAGCTCTAGTCCTCACATTAACACAAACACACACACACACTTAGACCTTATCCATCATAAAAGAAATTTCTCTTTGCAACAGATGGAGACCATTAGAGAAAATCACAATCAACTAAAAATAGAGTTGTGGAGCCAAGTTCTAATGGATACATCTATAATACCGCTTCTATACCTACAGCTCAGGGATCACTACAGGAGGGAGAGTGTAAAGACTGTAAGATGCAGAGGATCAGAGGGTTGACTGTAAGATTGAGTCTCCTATTAATGTTACAAGACACACACCAAAAATCTTATCAACATATCTACCTAAAATTCAGCTCAGGCTGGGCAGCGGTGGCACACACCTTGAATCCCAGCACTCAGGAGGCAGCGGCAGGTGGAGCACTGTGACAATGCATTCAAGACTTTATGGCATATTTATCAAAATCCAGGTGTCCATAGGTATGTAGACTCATGTTTGGAACTTCAGTTAGAATCCATTGATCAACATGTCTGTTTTTACGCCAATGCTTTGCAGTTTTTAATCTCTATACTACATCTTGAAATTAAGGATGATGATACCATCGGAAGTTCTTTTATTGTTTAGGATTGTTTTAGGTGTACTGAGTTTTTTTTCATTTGAAGTTGAGAATTATCTTTCAATGTCTGAAAAGAATTGTGTAGGAATTTTGATTGGTATTGTGTTGAATATGTACATTATTTTTAGTAGGATGGCCGTGTTTTATAGGTTTATCCTACCAATCCATGAGCATGGGAGATATTTCCATCTTCTGATATCTTGTTGAATTTTTCTTCAAAGACTTAATTTTTTTCCTAACAGGTTAGGGTTACCCCCAAGGTATTTTAAACTCTTTGTGGCTATTCTGATAGATGTTTTTGCCCTGATCTCTTTCTTAGTTCATTTGCCATTTGTGTATAGAAGAGCTAGTGATTTTTTTAATCTTGTATCTAGTCATTTCACTGAGGATGTTTATCAGCTCTAGCAGTCTCTGGTAGGATTTTTGGGATTGCTTATGTATACAATCATATCATCTACCTGTAATAATAATTTCTTCATTTCCAACTTTTATTCCTTTGATCTCATTCAGATGTCATACTGCTGTGGCTAGAATTTCAAGTACTATATTAAATAGATAACGAAAGAGTGAACAGTCTTCACTTGTTCCTTATTTTAGGAGAATTGCTTTAAGTTTCTCTACATTTAATTTGATGTTGGTTGTCATCTTGCTTTAAATTGCCTTTCTTATGTTTAGATATATCCCCTTTTTCCCCTATTCTCTGCAAGGCTTTTATAATGAAGTGAGTTGGATTTTGTTAAATGTTTTCTCAGCATCTAATGAGATGATCGTGTGGTTTATTTTTCTTTCAGTTTGTTTTTATGATGGATTACCTTGCCTGATTTTCATTGAACGTTCTGTTTCTTGAACCCTATGTAAGTATCTGGACACATAAAAATGTGTTCATTTATTGAGCTGCATACTTAAGTGCTGTGTATTTTTTGCTTGGAAAATTTTCCTTTATAAAAAGCAGGAAGTAAGAAGAAATTCATAAAATAGAAATAACATCTATCCTCCCCTATTTGCTCACTTTTATCTCTGGTTTACAATGACTATGGGTATATACGAAAGAAATGTCTTGAATTTTGGTCATATTTATGAACAATTATAGGATTTTGCAACCATCAAATTAAGCATTTGATCATCATACTTCAAGTAAAATATACAGGGAAAGGAAGAGATAGGGTTGCAATTAAAGAAAAGTATCCCTTGAGAAGCATAGATATTTTAATTAACCAGTCTTGATTTTATAGCTAAGAAATTGGAGGAGGTTGAGGTGATTTTTTTTTTCAGAAAAAGACATTGGCTTTTAAAGTGGACTAGATTTCTTTCAATCCACTGTGCTATTTCTGGTCTTTTGTTTTGTTTTTTAAATTTATTATTGTATTTGTTTATTTAAGAATTATGTGTACAGTGTGTTTTCTTCCTACTAATATGTCACTCTTCCTTGATCCTTCACATAGCATCCTTATCTGAACTTAATGTTCACTGTAAATAGGCCATAGACTCCAATTGTTTCTATTCTTCTATTCTTGGATTCTGGGTCCTCTACTATAGTGTAGACATCTTAACAAGGACCAGTCCACTGAGAAAAATGCACTGTCTCAACCCCAGTAGTATTTAGCTGACAAAGTACCTCTGTTGTAGGTGATAATTTTATTCATAATATATTAAATATTAATAGTAATACTAATAGTACTTTTCCTTTCATTTTTAATCAAATTTCCTTTTCATGAACTTCATAAATTATACTGGTTATTTGATATGGAAACATAAACAATATTTCTTACTGAGGAAGATATCTCAACATTTTAAAGGGAACATTTACTAGTCTTAGAATATTTTCATTGCTCAGAATCTACCATCTAGACCCAGTAGCCATGGAAACATTAGAATGTTTAGAGTTACATATTTCTCTGTACTAAGAAACCCCTGAAATTTGTCCATCCTAGAAGATAACTTTGAGTGTCTTGAGACTTCTTGGGTGTCCATTTAGTCTAAGCAGCTAATGGTCTTCAGGAAGATCTTCATCACCTTTGGATGGTGTCCCAAACCTGCTCATCTAAGTCCATATTGACCTTGATGTACAGCAATCCTTGTATTTTCAGTACTAGCTCCCAAGATCTCCATCTTTAGGTAAGCCTTTCTGAAAGACCCTTTGAAAAGAAATAAATTGCAGCATTGACTCACGTGAAGCATACCATCATATCTTCTGTATATGTAAAAGTCATACCATTGAATATGTGCCAGGAAATGAAATACTTAAATTATGACTCAATAATCCAAATTATGGTGTTTGCCAATTTATAGGCTCACTCCTTTTATAAATAGAGTCAATCTTAGAGGTTTGTAAACTATTTTTATTAAGTTTTCTTTTACCAATTTTTTTCCTGCATTGTATTTTGGTCATGATTTGCCCCTCCCTCAATTCTTTCCAGATCCTCCCCACCTTCCTACCTTTTGGTAATGTGCAGGTTTACTGTGGCAATACATATAACAGCAAACTGACTGTCTTGGTTTTAAAGCATATAGTTCAGTGACATAAGGTCATTTCATTTTTTATAGATGCTTCTGGAACATTTGGTCTTCCTCACCTGAAGATTTATCCTCACTCACTTCCCAGTCTCTGGTAACCCCTACTGTACTTTCCATCCCTACAGATCTTACTCTACCAGGTATCTTATATGTGGGAAATGATGTAATATTGATTTGTTTGTGATTTTCCCCTTTCAATTACTATTATGTTCTCCAAAATTTCACATAGTAAATAATGTGTCAACATTGCCTCCTTCAGATTTGTATATGCCTTCAGCCATCAAGGAATATACACATGGATGGCACCTTTGCTTACTGTGAATAGTGCTGTGGATGTTGCTAAATGAACATGTGTTCAAGAAGATCCTTGAATTCTTTGGGGGAAAGGCCCCAAAACTGAAATGATACACCTTATGGCAATTCTCTGTTTTAGCCTGTGAGGGATGACTACTTAATTTTCCACTGGCAATGCAGAAAGGTTTTAACTATCTCAAGCCTTAACTTGCAGTCCTGTGTTATTCTTCTTAGAAAAAAAACATATTGTGCACACCACGTTTTATTTAAGATGACATAAGGAAGAAAGTATTTTATATTGTTTACAAGTTTCCATCACTTATCATGTTACTTTTTATAGGACATAGAGATGCCACTGTTGACCCCGACTGCATATAACAAATAATTCATTTATCTGTTGCCAATATTTCTGTTTGAATAAAATCCATCCACTATTAGCAAAACTAGGGAGCACTGCATTTGTTTGTGACCTATTAGGAAACTGGATTGCCCATTATATAAGTGTACCTTATTAAATTCAAATATATTATTTGACTATTTTGCAGATTGTTCCTAACCTACGAATGTTTAAAATCATAGATATGTGAATATTGTTTCACTTTCCTGAGGCTTGAAAGATTTTACATTGAAAAAATTTTCAGACAATACAATCTGGTTTGGATTCCCCTCCCCCAACTCTTCCTAGATCCTCCCAGACTCACCATCTACCCAAATCGATAAACATTCTCTCTCAGTGGAATACAAGCAGACATCTCATAATAATAAGATAAAATAAAACAAACCTGAGTTGGATGAAGCAAAGAATCTACCATGAGAAAGAGTCAAAGAAGAAACACATATAGATGCAGAGGCACACACATGAGTACACATAGAAATCCCATAAATGGTCAACATTGGAAACAAAAAAAGACATGTAAGGTAAAAAAAAAGGGGGTGTAAAAAAGAAGAAACAGAATGTTGATTCAAAGCATTATGGAACTAGGAATCTTCCAAAGATGCCTGTGAGTTCATTTTGTGTTGCCATCTTCTGCTGATCATGGTGGTCCTTTGTACACACAGTGAAACTTCTTTGGAGAAAACAAAATTTTCCTTTGATATTGGAGATAGTGTCTGAATTACGGATTGTGGCTTGGAGGATGGAGAGTTTTATTATTGAATATTTGCTTAAAAACCCTTATGAAAATGCATAGAACTGAATGGTTTTGTGTCCGAGGGACTGATGAGGGACTGATGAGGATTTGTTATGTGGTTCACACTCTGGCTCATGGTACTCCTTTTTATGTTTTCCTTTCAGATGCTTCATTTTCTCCCATAATTCCCTGCCAAGACCAACATTTCCTATTACTACTAAGTAGCTAAGACCACCTGGATCCATCTTCCAAATGTATAAATTCACCTATAATATGCGGAGGTAAGATGTAAAGAGAAACCTACACAGTGACTTTCAAATTTGTTCTCTGAAGAATAAACATGCATCCACCATACAGGTTTCAGACATGGAAAGCATAAAGTCTTCAGCAAGTTGAATTCTGATCCCTCAGAGCTCTTCTATAAACAGAGCATTAACCAAGCGGGGTATCAGTTCCAAATCCATCTTGTTAGTATAACTTTTCAAGTAAGACATCTGTGACTTCACTCAGTTAGGAGCATAATGGGTATGTGAGAGAAAATGTTTCTGGCCAGGAAATACAGTTTTTGGGTTCCCTGAAGCCATCTTCACATGCAACCACTGACAGTTCACATTTCTACTGAAAGGAATACTCCATCTTTTCCTTTTCTGCATAACAACCCATTGTTATGCATTGTGTGTGTGTGTGTGTGCCCGCGCGCGTGCGTGCGTAGACATTTTACGGGCGATAGAAATCAGGGTCCAGCACATACTAGGCAATGACTATATACCACCTAACTGTATTTAGCAAATACCTTTTTAAATAGATCTTCAAGGTCATGCCCATTCTGATTTTAATTATTAAAGTCTCTATAGCTTTATTTAATAAAAATCTTAAAACTTTTAACACATATACAAAAAGAAATGTCAGCGCCTTCCAAAGCCAATTGGATAGACAACTGGTCTCCCTGGAGCTACTCTTTTGTGTTCATCTTGGAAAATTAAAAATTAACATACTTCTTTGGATACATAAACAAGTCACTTATATTTCATTATTATAAGTGAGTTAACTGGCTCATCTTTGAGAGGGTTGGAGTTCAGATCTCAGCAGCAACATAGTAGTTCCCAACCAGCTTTTCAGTCTAGTTCCCGTGTCTGACACTCTCTTCTGGACTCATCAGAGACCAGGTACACATGTGGTGCAGAGATGTACATGCAAGCAAAACACCCCAAAATCTCAAATAATAATGGTGAAATGTTTTATTTTATTTCATTTTATTATAGACTTATGTGTCTGTGGGGGAATTTGCATGTGGGTGCCATGTCCTTGGAGGCCAGAAGTGGGCATTGTATCCCCTGTAGGTGGTTGTGAACTGCCCCAGGAGAGTGCTGGTAAACAAGCTAGTCATCTGCAAGAACAGCAAGTGCTCTTATCCACTGAGCAGTCTTCAACCACTTTCTTTGTTCTTATCTACAGTTATGTACATGGTTAATATACATACATACACACATACATACATACGTATATCTTAAATGCAACTTTAGACAGGTGGAACAAAATGCCTATTTAGAGTGCTCTAGCAACACCTCATGCTGTGTCTTCTCTTTTTCCTGGTGTTCCTGGTTGATTCCACAATTCTCTGACATCACCTACAGTTCTGCTGAAGTGAAGGTGTGGATCTTCAGACTGGCAAGCCTCATTTGCAGCTCTATTGTCTGGGGTTTTGGAATAAGCCTAGCTACTAGTAGATACTGGCGTCTGTGGGAATTCAACAACAAGGCTCCACACCTGGTGTACATTGGACTGTGGGAAGCTTACTATTATGAAGAAGTCAACAAATCGGGTTTAATAACCAGGGTGCCCGTGCACAGTGCTATGAACTCCAACTGGACCATTTCAATAGAAATTGAGTATGCACGGGGCTTGATTTTATTGATTAATTTTATGCAGCCCATAGTCCTTATTTTCACCTCATTGGCCATTATGGTCTGCTGGATGAGAGCTCCATACCCTGATTTCATGATGTTGTGCTACAAAACCTCCATATTGTTTCTGATTGTCAACATAATTTGCACAGTTTGGGCTGTGAGCTGGAACCATGTTGCAGACATTTACGGTAAAAGCACCCTTGATTTCCCACCAGCGTTTCCCGTTGGGAAAGATGATCTGCTAAGGAAGCAGAAAACCCATGTGCTCCCATTGGGTTTGCTGATGGCCATGCTTTCAGTCATCAGCATCTTTATGTTGTTGTATGAGATGTGGTTGATTAAACCACAGACTAGAGTTAAGCCCTCGATTGTCTCGATAAGTCAACATATGACAACCTTAGCTGAGAGTCCTTTATCAGTAACATCTTCCGGAGTACTCATTTGAGATATTTTCTACATAAATATAAACATACTCTGGTCATCTACTCATTTAAAATAAAACATTCATTTGATTTCCCCAGGGTGTGTCACCTGCTTATGGCTAGCTCTATTCTACAAATGCACTCCTGCCTTTGAAGGTCTTCATTTCTAGAAATCTGTGGGCCAAGATCATAATACAGATACTCTTTACAAACAATGGCAGATGAGAGTACACACAGAGTTCAAGTTGCACATGGCCAAATCCAGGTTGCAAGGAAGTTCATAAATACGCTCACACCTACAAACAAAAGAAACCATATCTCCACTCTGTGATCTTTAGCATTAACACAGTCTTGAAGGTTGGAAAAAGACCTCTGACACCACTGAATGGGCTGGGATTTGGGGAATAAGGAGTCCACACTGTGCAATGGAGATAAATTAGTAGCATCCATGGACACTGCCCACTAGGAGGCACTAGCACCCTTCTGTTTCTCCCATTTTGAAGAACCCAATCATACACATGCATTGCCTTATAAATTTTCAGTGTTTCTCCTATTGAGAACCATCGAATTAGACCCAAACTTTAGCCATGTGGATGGAAGTTATACTATGAGAAGAGTATTCTGAGGAAAATTGGTAGGCAAATAAAACCACACAGGATCCTCTTGTTCCCCATTGTAAACTGGTGTGCTTCTGCTGAAAAAAAAAAGGATCAAATCCTCATAATATAAACTGGAGAAATGGGTTGAAGTTGGCAAGCATTATTCACAGTACCTTATTTTCCAAGAGATCTACCTTAATCATTGTTTGTTCTCAGATAACAACTAGAAGGCAATCCAGCCCCCAACGGAAGTGACCACTCCAACATCTTCATAAAATAGCTTATGTAGAGCTTTTTTCCAGGAATTTTTACTCCATGAAAGCATAGAGCAGTGGATCTCAACCTTGCTAAAGTACTGATCCTTTTATACAGTCCCTCATGTTGTGGTGATCCCCAACCATAAAATTATTATTGATGATACTCCTCAACTCTAATTTTACTACTGTCATGAATCATAATGTAAATACCTGATATGCAGGATATCTGCTATGTGAATCCCATGAAAGGGTTATTCAATGCCCCAAAGTGGTCACAACCTATGGGTTGAGAACCCCTGGCATAGAGAAAGTAGAAAGGCACGTGTTAAATTGCCTAGGGAGAAAAATTAGATAGGAATCCATTCACAGTACTTTATTGAGGCCATAGAATCAGAAATAAGGAACAGCAGAGGAATGACATGAGTTCAAGCTGTTGAATGCATGCTATCACTGTAAGAACTTTAATGCAAAATTCTCAAATGAAGTATTGCTAAGATGCTAGGCTCAATAATCGTTACCAACACAAAGATGCCAGAAGGGAAGGAAGGGAGATTTGAATTGTTCTTATCACAAAGAGGAATACATAAAGTGATATAATGACCGCAAATCATTTTTCAGAATCCTAATATGGGTGTATGATTTTTCATAGAAAAAGAATTTTGGGGAGATGGCAAGAAGTAGCCTTAATTATAGAGATCTGACCAAGATGTAGAACTTTCCATATTTTGTAGTGGGTGAGATTGTTTTGCCCTGAAGAAAATGAAGGTAGGAGAGAAAGCCAGGGTGGGGTGGACTTGAGGGGAGGAGGAAGGAGGAACTGTATTTATGATATAATATATGGGAGAATAATATAAAAGAAGCAACCGTTTTTCAGTTGAGAACATTCTCAGATGAACTGAGTGGCCTGCAAGTCTTACAAAGAACTCCATGAATGCAGTTTTTATGAGCTGTGACTCACACTGTGGTGGGCTTTTTGTTTTATGTGCATTTGTCTGTGAAGGTGAGTGGTTACTGAGAGATTTTTTATAGTAAAGCATAAGACCATAAGAAGTCCTGTTCCCAAATAGAACAGAGACTCCTTACTAGATTAGATGTCATACTGGCCACTAGAAATTCAGGCTCCAAAGACTAGAAGACAAAAAGGAAACAGAAACCAAGGAACAAAACTTCCATCCAACAAAGACAAACACAGAAATGAGGACCTGAAATTATAATCATTCCAAACCCATAGGCTTAAATGCCAATGTAAGAAGACAATCAACAACATGAAGTGCAATATTGTACCACTGGAGTCCAGGTATATTACAACAGGGAGACATGAATATTTCAAAACTGCTGAAACACAAGAAAACCAACTTATAAAACAAATTAATGAAGATTAACGATGTCCTTAAAGAGTATATGGGAAACTCCAATAAATAAATTGTGGAACAAAAAAGGGGAATAGGACAGAATCTTCTAAGAGAATTGGAGCACAGGGGGGAGGGGAGAGGAACCAGAGAAACATACGGGGTGAAGACAATGAGAGAGGAGGACATAGGGGAGCAGGAAGGTGGAGTCAAGGGAAGAATAAATGAGAGCAGGATTGGAGACACTATAATAGAAGGAGCCATTATAGGTTTGAAGAGAGATCTGAACCTAGTGAGATGTCCAGAGATCTACAAGGATGACACCAACTGGCAATCTACTTAATAGTGGAGAGGCTACCTTAAATGCCCCTCCCCGATAATATGATTGATGGCTTCCTTGTGTGCCATTCTAGAGCCTTCATCCAGTGGCTGAAGGAAGCAGAGGCAGACACCCACAGCTAAACACTGAAGTGAACTCCTGGAACCCAGTTGCAGAATGGGAGGAGTGATAAGAAATGTGGTTAAGACTTGGCAGATGAGACCCACACAAACAGGTGACCTGAAAAAAAGGGGGAGCTCATGGACCCCAGACTGATAGTTGAGAGGCTAGCATGGAACTAATCCAGACCCCTTGAATGTGGGTATCAGTGAGGAGGCCTCTGTAGTCTTTGGGGCCTCAGGCAATAGATAAGTCATCCAGATGGACATTGGGAGCCCATTCCACATGGAGGAATGCTGTGTCAGCCTGGACTTTACCCAACAAAGCTTTTAATTCAATATTTATCCATAAATCCAGCCCTATAAAAGGTACTAGAAAGATAACTTTTCAACTCAAAGAAATAAACTACACTCACAAAAAATCAATAGATAATCAAACAACATCAGACCCCAAAGAATGAACACACACACACACACACACACACACACACACACACACACACACACTACAATTACCACCACTAACCAAAACAAACAAGCAGGAATTAACAATCGGTTGTCATTAGACTCGTTAAACATAAGTAGACTCAAGTCACCAATAAAAAGACACAAGACACAGGCTAATAGAATGAGTATGAAAACAGATATATCCTGACGTATGAAAATGGATTTATCCTGCTGCATACAAGAAACACATCTCAACATCAAAGATAGATAAACCCTCTGAGGAAAGTGATGGAAAAAGAGTTTTCCAATCAAATGGACCTAGGAAGAAATCTGGTGTAGCTATTTTAATATCTAACAAGATAGACTTCAAACCAAAATTAATCAGAACAGATGGGTAAGGATATTTCATAATTGTCAAAGGAAATAGCCACCATGATGGCATCTCAATTTTCAACATTTATGCCTCATACCGAAGGGCAACAACATTTGTAAAGAAAAGACTACTAAAGCTGAATAATGCTCCACTTAATTACCTACAAAACAAGGAAGAAATAAAAAAAGAAATGAAAGACATCCTAGAATTAATTGAAAAGGAGTGCAAAACATGCCCAAACATGAGGGATACAACGAAACCAGTGGTAACGGGAATATGCATAGCACTAAGTGCATTCATAAAGAATAGCAACAGATCTCATACTAGTGACTTACTAGCACATCTGAAATTTCTAAAACAAAAAGAAGGAAACACACCCAAGAGGAGAAGATTATAGGAAATAATCAAATTGAGAAATGAAATTACTAAAAGTAGAAACACAGAGAATGATATAAAGAACCAGTGTAACAGAGAGGTGCTTCCTTGAGAAACTCAACAAGACAGACAAACCCTTATCCAAACTAACTAAAATATAGAGATAGATTTTCAAGTTAAGAAAATCAGAGAGCTTCAGGATAGACAATAGCCCTTCCAGGCCCCAAACTCCTGTGAGCCCATCTTCAAATGAGATTAGGTCTCCGGAAGGGACAAACACCATCCGCTGCCCAACACCCATCCCCTCGATCTTCTGGTGCCACTCCTGGCATCCAGAAGACCAGCCCGCACAGGAAAGACATCAACCCTTCCAGGCCCCAAACTCCTGCGAACCCAGTTTCAGGAAAGGCATCAGCCCTTCCAGGACCCAAACTCTGGCAACCCCAGCTTAAGCTTAAGCTTCAGTGTCAGCATCCCCAGCTTCAGCTTCAAGAAGAAAGGAGACCAGTGGAGATGGAAGACCCCACCAGCACCCACTGGAAGAAGAGATGGGAAGAAGACAGAATAAGAGCTCACTCAGCAACAGAAAGACCAACATGACTGCACCAGAATCTAGGGAACCAACACCAGCAAGACCTGAAAAGTACTACATAGACGAAGCAGAGGAGACAGACCTTAAAAATTATTTTATGAAGATGATAGAGACCCTCAAAGAAGAAACGAGGAAATCCCTTAAAGAAATAGAAGAAAAAACAAACAAAAATCCATGAAATGGGGGAAAAATTCAAGAAATAAACAAATCTCTCAAAGAATCTAAAGAGCACCAAAAAAAAAAACAAATGAAGGAAACAACTCAAACAGTTGAAAGATTGAAAGCTGAAATAGAAACGATAAAAAAAAACACAGAACAAGGGGATTCTGGAAATAGAAAAGCTGGGTAAATGATGAGGAACTACAGATGCAAGTATCACCAATAGAATACAAGAGACAGAAGAGAGAATCTCAGGTGTTGACGACTCATTAGAGGATATAGAGTCGTCAACCAAAGAAAATCTCAAAACCAACAAATCCTTAACACAAAGTATGCTGGAAATATGGGACACCGTGAAGAAGCCAAACCTGAGAAAAATAGATATAGAAGAAGGCAAAGAAATACAACTCAAAGACACAGAAAACATATTCAACAAAATCATAGAAGACAACTTCCCTAACCTAAAGAAAAATCTGCCTATGAAAGTACAAGAATCTTACAGAA